CTGAATCCAATCGAAAATTCAATTTTATTTAGGAAAAACATTTAAATAAATAAAATTTTATTTTCTATTTCCCTCCGACGCGTGCTAATACATAATACATTTTTACAGTGCTACCAGTGGGTAGTTTCTCAACAAATGATTTCATGCTTTTATATTCTTTTGTTCACATTTACTAAATGTATTTTTACTTGTAATACAGTTGTAAATATCATCAATAAATAAAAAAAAAAAAATTTTCGATTGGATTCAGGATCTTGTTATATTGATTATATTTTCAAATTATAGCTAGTAAAAAACATTCTACTCTACAATAGAAACTAAAATCAATAGAAAAATTCAGGATAAGATTCAATAGCGATGAAAATAATTAATGCTGATCAATAAAAATGATTCAACTTTAATAATTACCTTATTGTTCCTTAAACAGTGCAAGAAAATAGATATCTTCATATTTCATGGGGGAGTAGACATTTAATCAAGTTTTCATGTCATACTCGTACAATGACTTACTATTTCAACTGGAAATAAATAGGTTTCAAAGGGAAGAAATTAACTTCTCAAGTTTCTAACTGTAACTAATCGTATAGTATTCCTTTGCCTATGATCAATTTATATTAAATCGCAGTAAAAACAATATCCTAATCGGCAGGAGCACGGGCCTGTAAATGTAGAGTTGCAGTAGGCTTCATCGCATGACCAGCAGAGATGGGCATATTTATATTCAAAATATAAATACGAATACCATTTATATTTATGGAATATAAATATAAATATATTTAAATCCATAAAAAGAAATATGGAGACAGATGGTACGTATTCACGGCTATAAATATAAATACAGCCATATTCACGATCGTAAAAGTGAATACGGCTGTATTTACACTAATAAATTGAATAAGGCACTATTGACGCTTATCAAAATGAATACACTTAAATTTACAGAAGTGAATAGAAATATTTCCACACAACCTTCCTAATGAATACCCCTATTTATTAAAACAAATATATTACTATTTGTGTAAATAATATTATATTCTTCGTTTTACAATATGCTATGTTAATTATCACTCGCAGTGTTTGCACGTAAAATAAATTCCCATGCCTTTTTTTTTTGTTGGATCAATCGCCCCATTAAATTGATCAAATTACATTGTAAAATAAATTAAAATTAATATAAATCGTTAATTAAAAATATAAACTTTTAATGAATGGTTACCTTTTTTTTCAAGTTTCCAGCTCTCTGTAAAAAACAGTTGACTGCAGAAATAGCTTAAGTCCGAATCAAATTTAAAATTTTCTTGAGTCTAATTTATGTTGAAATTAGGTAATTTTTGCATGACAACAACATAAATACATGTTATGACACAGGGGAAAAAAAGTTCAAATATTTGAAAATTTGGAGCAGTTTTGACGTTTTTACTCTATCTTCTAAAAAATTTGAAATTTGTGACTGAAGTGGTTTCTGCACTCACCGATTCAATTTCACCTTCCGATGAAATAAGTAAATGTTATGTTCTCCTCATAATTACCCATGCTCCATCTTCCATCCATGATGATTATTATAAAATATTTAAAATGAAACAAGTCTTAACACAATTATACAAAACGCAAAAGTATAATTAGTAAAAAAAGAGAGGAAAGGGTTTTAAAAGATCATGGTTTAAGTTATCTTAGTTTAAGTTATCTTGGTTTAACAGAGGTGGTTTAAGTTTAGGCGAAGAGAAGGCTGGTGTAATATTAGCAAGCTATGGCCCAGAGCGGGTCGTAGGCTCTCCTGGAAATGTGACAAAAACTGTCCTCTTTGTTTTGCCCTTAGCTTCAGTCTCACCCCCCTCCCCCACACTCCCTCTCAGCCACTCAGCATTTTTCTTGCCCCTCCTCGATCGACGCCACGCGAAATTATTAAGGATTAGATTTATGGAGGTTAAACATCATGAAGGTTTCGAGAGTCACTCGACCAAAAATAATAAAAATAAATTTATTTATATGTATGAACAAGATTATTAGTCCGTGGTACAGACCCATTTTAATCAAATTATTAACATTCGCCTGAAACTTTGTAAATAGCTTAATCGCATCGTAACCTACAAATATTTACGAAAATTCTCGTGATGGTGACGTTTTCAATCTAGAGATCGTCAAACTTTATTTATTTAATTAAGTACTAAAAACTCGTAAACACCCATTTGCTTTCCACTTTAATCGTAAAGTTAACGAATCGAAGACAGTGAAGACTTTATAAGTAATGTTTTTCATTATTATGATATTTATAATTTTAGTTACAAATGGCATCTAAAATACAGAATAATATACTACGGATATATAGGTTGACTACACGAGTTCACTCCAGGTCTCCTACAGTGAAGAGTGTGACTTCAAGAATGTAACTGCATGAGTGATTAGTCTAGAGGAGCAGAGGGTTTATATGCCCAAGAATATCAAGGGGATGAAGGGAAGTCGGAAGAGGACGGCAAATGAAGTTATCAATAGTTAATATTCTTAAGATTAGGTCTGTGAGAAAGTCCCCTTTTACTGAAATCTGAGTTTTGATAATGGGTCTTGTTTCCAGTCGGTGCCTTCTAGATAACTATTTCTAAGCTATCAGAGATAACTTGACCTGGCTATCCAGGGATGCTTTGTGCTTTGAATTATGAGATACAATACATTGTAGTGTCAATACAATACATGATTCACCAATTGGCATATTAAACAAAATAAAAGTTAAATTAATATTATCATTATTATTATTTGTTATAAGTACTTGAAGGCATTTATCACTGAATCCAGAGAAGATGCTAGTGTGGAGGAGATACTGAAAATAGACACTACGAAAAAAAATAAACCAACTGTATTATTTCATACAGGGCTGTTCATTGAACTGTTAAGTGGTAAAGTTAATCATATAACATATATTAATGCTTATTTATATTGTCATTTGTCTTATACCTCTCGAATATTTAAAATAAAAAAATAAATAAAATAAAAAAAGTTTTACTAATTGTTATGTGTATATATATATATCGCTTACTAATCTGTTATTATATTAGTCATACTTTATGCTGTGGACATTGTACTAGACTCAAGATCTAACATTGTTAATTATACCATTATATTTATTTGTACAGGAATTTCCTTAGACAAATAAAATAAACTATCTATCTATCTATTATTATTTGTTACGGATTAAGTCCATTCCGTAACTGTAAGATAATTTTAGCACGAACTCTAGAAATAAGTTAGCCTTCAAAAATATCGAGCCATTTGGCATGACCTAAACTCCCAAAATGTCCAAATAACGAGGTTTTATAGACCAAATGGCCCAATATTTTTGTAAGCCATATTTTTTCTCGATTTTTTCATCATATTATCTTACGATCTAAGTGGAGAGCAAATGGGTATATACAAGTTTTAATACCTAATTAAATAGACAAAGTTTGTCCTCCTCCAAATTGAAAACGCTCCAATTCCAAGTGTTTTCATAAATAAAATAGTTGTAGGTTACTATGAGATGAAGTTATTCACGAAGTTTCAGGCGGCTGTTAATAATTTGATAAAAAGGGGTCTGTACCACGGACTATATGAACCGAGTTTACAAACGTTCCATCAAAATGGTTTCACACTACAACCTTTCAAAACGTCACATTTAATTGCACTCATTGAGCTTGATAAGATTTTCTGTTTTGTAAAGTAATCATGTACGGTTTTCATATTTCAGGTGCAGCCATAGTGACTAAGAAATTCATTTAACTTTGAGTGTTATGCTATCTAAGAAAGGTGTTGAGTTGTTTACATTAAAATAGATATGTTCAGAATAAACAACCTTATTTTGGTTATTCATTTATAATGGAACCTTTATTTAATCGTTATATTTAAACAATTGAGTAGCATTATCTGGAACTTTCCAAAAATTCGAAGAAGCAGCGGCTAAACTAGGCCTTAGAGTTAATGAAAATAAGACGATGTACATGAAAAGTTCAAAAATTGGAAACGAAAATAGCTTTAAGAGAACACAACTTCAGGTCTGTTGATCAGTTCAAATACCTTGGAAGCCTGGTCACATGTAATAATAAAATAGAGAGTGAAATAAAGGCCAGGATAGTAACAAGGAATAGATGCTATTTCTCACTGCAAAAAGTATTCAGAATTAAAATTCGGATCACTGACTATAAAAATCAAAATCCTCATCTACAAAACCATATTAAGGCCAGTTGTTATGTATGGGTGTGAGACTTGTACTTTAACCAAAACCTCAAAACGCACCCTCAACTCCTGGGATAGAAAATTATTGAGAAGAATATGGTGAGTTGATAAAAAGACCCAGATGATCAGATGGTTAGGTCATGTGGAGGACGATCTGAGGTGGCTAGGCGTTCGAAGATGGATGAAAATAGCACAAGAACATGGAAATTGGTTGGCTGTAGTGGAGAAGACTCTGGTTCTTGCAGGACCATATTGGACAGAAATGGATAATATTGGTAAAGACGGTTAAAGATTTACAAGATCTGTAACAGCACCATTATAATAATAATTTAAACAATTAAATAGATTTTAAAGAAACGTACTCCGAACGATAACTCGAGCTATCTGAGAACAGAACCTGTGTATTAAGAAAGAAAAATAAAGAACTAGCAAAATAACCTGATCAGTCTCTCATGGTATGAAGGCAAGGAGGTTAAACGTGGCAAGCAGCTCAACAATAAATTTCTCAATAATAGGCATGAGGCAACATGGAGTGCCAAAAATCAGATGGATAAATAGAATCAACAGAGATGCAATAGAAATGCATGAAGTAAGTAGAATACACAAAATGGGCAGAAATGGATAATATTGGTAAAGTTGGTTAAAGATTTACAAGATCTGTAACAGCAACTTAAAAAAACAACACATTTCATGAGCAATGTGCTGTTATCAACAAAACAATTTTTTTTTTTTAAATATTTCTTTTTGGGCATTGAAAAATAATTATTTCATATAGTATATAGATTCTTTTAATGTCTTACCTTTTGGACTTTCTTTGCCCTTGAGTGAAATTCCAGAGCTGTCTTCGCGCCTCCAGAGTATCCTCGGCTCAGGACGACCTCTTGCCCTGCAGGTGATGATCACCTCCCCTCCCTCTTCCACGGAGACGTCTGATGACGTGTCGCTGTCCACTATGTCTGGCGGAACTGTGACAGACAATTAAAAAACACTTCAATTAAAAACATGTAAACAATTCAAAACTATAAAACTAAATACGACAACGTTAATGAAAGCCGGTAAAGAACTAGGACTCGAAATAAACGTGGACAAAACAAAATATATGGTTAGCTGCAAAAATGGCGATACTACTGGTGATATCGATATAGATGGTAATATGTTTGAACAGGTAGATAGCTTTAGGTATCTAGGTTTTACGATAACTAGAAAAAACGAAATTGAATAAGAGATTAAGGTTAGACTGAAGGCGGGGAATGCTTGTTATTTTTCTGTGACAAAACTACTTAGTTCGCGCCTCTTGTCCCGAAACTTAAAAATTATAATCTATAAAACAATTATCTTGCCTACAGTTCTTTATGGATGCGAAACTTGGCCGCTTACATTAAGGGATGAGCAGCGTCTTAAGGTTTTTGAAAGTAAAGTATTGCGTAGAATATTCGGACCGAAGAAGGATGAGTTAACCGGAGAGTTCAGACGGTTACACAACGCCGAATTGCGTGAGCTGTATCCGGGTAATATAATTGAGGTAATTTCATCGCGGCGAATCAAATGGGTTTGTAAAGTTATAGGGCTTAGTAACGAGAGAATTCCTAAAAGATTAATATTTGCTGTGCCGAATAGTAAGCGTCCGAGGGGTAGACCGAAGCGAAGGTGGGAAGATTGCATTAAAGCCGATCTGAAGGGACTGGGTTTGGACGGCGAACGGTGGAGGGAGGTGTGTAACAAGCGATTGGTGGTGTCGGCATCGAACCTTCGGGTTCGCTAAGCCTTATTATTATTATTATTAAACAATTCAAAAAACTGATTTTTTTTTCCTCCCGTCAAAACCGTAACGACCCGTATAAAACCATAATCCCTAAATCCGTCCGATGTTAAAAGCCGAACTTCGTAAACAAATCAGAATTAAAGATACAAACTAAAAAAATATTTTTTAAAAATTTTATTATTTATTTATGATATTTACAATTTTATTAAGAAAAAATACATTTAGTAAATGTGTTAGCAGAAAATAAAAACATGAAAACATTTGTTGAGAAATTAACCACTGGCAGCACTCTAAAAAAAAAAATGAGCAAAAGAAAATACTTTTATTACAAGATCTATCAACATAATAACGTCGGTTTATAGCAAAATGGAGAGTTTCCAGTCAATAAGTCACTGATTTAAACCAAATTTTTATGAGGAATACTATATCGAAAAATATGAGGCGCATGTACCGACGTTCGTTCCCGATAAGCCTTAGGAGCTGAAAAAAAAATTATTTTACGTAATTAAAAAGAGACTTGAGCGTAAATGACTCCAGTGTTCAAAAGACTCAAACAAATAAATATAATTAAAAAAAAAATATGTTTCTTTTTTGCCTTTGCTTTTTCCGCATATCATATCAAGCTATTTGTTTTTATTGAGAATAATGAAATAATGAAAAAATCTTAACTAGAGTGAAAGCACCAGTTATGGACAGGGGCCCCAGTGATGGTCATGTTGGACTTTAAATGTAAATAATAAGCTTCTTTGTTGATTTTATGGTTTCAGTTTATTCTAGATTGAAAAACAATGCCCTCTATTGACAACTGTATGAACAAAGTTCCTAAAAGAAAATTTTAAAATGCCTATCATTGTTGTTTCTACAGTGCTCTTGAGATTAGTGTGTTTCATACCTTCCTACTAAGAGTTTTGCTAAGAGTAAATTAAACATTTATTTTATATTTATCGTCATATTTATAGTTAAATAAAGATTTTTCTGAGATATGTCTATTAGTGCCGATCCCTTTTCAATTATTAGAACAATTAAATTTCGGGATGTCCATCACTAGTGCAAAAACGTGTTGTTTTTTTAAATAACGATTATATTTGTATAACTGGATTTTTTTTTTTCAATTTTTAAGTGTTAAATATAAAAAGAATACCATAGAAATTCTCAATGTCTAACGGAGAAGCTTATAACTATAATAATTACGACGGCAAATCCGAAAATGACAAAAATTTCCTTAGCTATATCCATCACTGGTACGCTTACCCTATGATATAGATGGAGAATATTTTTTATCATGGGAGGCTGCAGCAAAATTATACAGTGCTAATGGAGGCAGCAGAAAGGTTAGATATCGCTAATGGAAGTTGCTATAGTTTTTACTTTCACTTACGTATATATGTAATATATACGTAATGGTTTTTTAAAAGTTTATGGAATTTCCTTAAAAAAAGGGTTAAAATCGGACAATTAGGAGGAAAGTTTTGATCTCTAGAGTTTTTTCCCCTGAAGAGGCGAAAATTTGTATAAATTTAAAATATACTTCTTTAATTATTGAGACTAAAAATTAAATACTATCTGCATAGATAACTTTTTCAACTAAAAATATTACTAAATTGACATTACACAAAAATGTTGAAATTGGATTTAGTCATTCTGTGGTTTATAAAAGCAAAGAAAGTTGTGTGGTTTATAAAAGCAGATGGAGTGACTAGATTTTTATTACCTACCGTCGACATATTAAATAGACATTTTGTCATTATAACGGTCTTAATGACTTGTTATCTGTAAGCTTTAAGGTTTAGCTCCGTTTAAAATGCACTTAAAATTTTATAATAGTCCAGCATTTCCAGAAAATAATTTCTATTCAGAGCGGTAAGTTAAAGTTGTGTGTTGCACGCACCAATTTTTTTATATTTAACTGGTACTATTTTTATTAACACCTTTCCTCCAAGGAAAACAAAATACCTCATTTGTTAAAAAATATGCATTAGACAAAAATAAAATTGTTTTATAAAATTTAAAATTATAGGAACGATCTATTCATTTTTTAGTACTTCGACTCCAATACAAGTTTAGGAGCCAGCAAGCTCGTTGAGAATACTGCTCGGCGGAATTGTTGTGGGTTCCTTAAGGCGGTATTGAATCATTTTCTCTAATGGCAGAAAGGGAAACATTCGAAGGATGAATAACTGGCAGAGACTCAATAGTCAATAACAAGTCGGCCGTTATATTTTCATATTTAGGGCAGGATCATGTTCCCGCTGGTGATTGCGGTTAATGCATTTCCGGATATAAGGAGTATATGGCGGCCATATTTCTCAGCTGAATTTCCCTACTTCCCTCTTCTCGAAATGGGAGGAATACATTCACCGAAGTAACAAAAGTTATAAGACCATGGACGTTTGGATTCAACCATTCATAATAACAAAAAATAATATATACAAGTAATTAGAAATAAAAAGAAATTTAATTTAATGATCTATATTGAAATGAAATGAAAAAAATAATTTTATTCTGGGATTACTGTCCCCTAAGAATAATAACAGAGTTACAAATTTATGGATCTTAGTCTGACATAATAAAAATACAAATTAATACTGTTAATTGTTATTTCAATTGTGCAATGGATTGAAATTAAACATTGTATAGATGCAAGTAATTTTACATGTTAGGGGATGTTTGAATGTGGAGTAGGTGTTGGAACAGGAGTTGTTTGAAGGAATTTGTGGACGAGGATTGACGCATGGAGGTAGGAAGTTAGTTCCATAAGGAGGCAGCACGAATGACGAAGGATTTGCTGAAGGAGAAAGTTTTATGGAACGGGATATATAAGTCTATAGGTTGAGACCTAGTATTGAGAGAGTGGATAGAGGAGCGTAGAGTTAGAAGTTCCAGGAAGTAGGGAGGGTTTTTGGTTCTGAAGAAAAGGAAAACGCCAAGGAGGAATTATCGTCGGGAAGTAGGATAAAACCACTTCAACTCGGTGTACCAGAGTGAAACAGTGAACGCCTGGGAATCCCGAAAATGTATCTCATGAAACAATTCATGAGTCTTTTTAATCTCATTTCCAGCCTGGCAGATAGCCCTACATACACCAAACAGCCGTAGTCGAGGTGGGGGAATACAAGGGAGGTTACAAGGAGCTGTCTGGTTTTTAGAGGAATACAAACACGGAATTTTAGGAGGGGCAGTTATGGATTTTCGAGTAATCTGGGAGATATGATTATTCCAGGAGAGGTTCTGGTCAAAGGTTACTCCTAGGTGTTTGACTGTAGGGAAAATGGATGAGACGGTTATTGAGGTTAAGTAGAGGAAAATTATGGGCAGAGATGGGCAAGTGATACTCTGAGTTCTAAGTATCAAGTACCCAAATTCTGACATTTTTGAGTAAAGATTTAATTACTCCTTCAGTTGATGTCAAACGATTAAGTGAAGTAGTGATTGAATTCCTAATAGTGACTCAATTTGAGTTAAATACTTGGTGCTCGGTACTCTCTCTCCCATCTCTGATTATGGGGGCGGAATTATTCAGTGAGTTAGACTTCAAGTATTTTTTCATCAGTCGTGGATGGACCCTAGTGCCGGGAGACCCTCTTGGGGCACAACCAGCCTCTGTAAAGTAGGCTTTTAATAAAATTTTATTATTTATTTATACAGAAATATAACAATATAGTGGACACGGACAATAATTATAGTGAGATATGAACACATTCACACCATATAAATAGGAAACATGTAACATTGCATTTATATAATATGCAATAACATATAATATTGCAAAATAACAACAGAATAATAATAATTTTTTATAAAAAAATATTTATATTTATTTTTCTATTATATATAAATATTGTATGAATGAATACTGTATCCCTTATAATTTTTTTTATTTCTTAATGATATTTACAACTGTATTAAATAAATACATCTAGTAAATTTGAACATATGGATATAATGACGTGAAAACACTCGTTGCGAAACTACCCAATGGTAGCACTCTAATGAAATGTCTACATTATTAGATCACGGGGCCATCTTCTTTTCAGATGCTTCGGAGGGTCATCAGGAATTGAAGAGGAAGCAAGGTTAGAAACGAGAGGGTCGGGATGATTCTGAAGTTTATTACGGAAGACTAGGTATCTGGATTCGGTCAATTCCAAAACATAAGGAACATGAAAATCGTCATGGATGATTTTATTAGTGACAAAGTAAGGAGCGTTGAGCATTTTACGA